TTTTTTTGTTTTGTTTTGTTTTGTAATGGACTTGCCACTTCTGATTTTCTTGATATAAGGCTACATTTTTCAGGTCCTTGTAGCCCCAAAGATAAATGTATTGTTTAGGTCTTCTCGGAGCCTTTAATATGCTAACATACCAGGTTACTCTCCAAGAAAGGGGAAAAGCCTGCCATGTTTCACAAATGACAAAATATTTCATTATTTAAAATATCGCAATTACTTGTCAAGGCTTTCTTTCTGAGATAAATGTCTGTGAATGCAGTTTCAAAACTGCTTGTTTGAGTTACTAGTCTGGGCCCGCTTCATAGCATACATTATAATGGTCATAATGCCTCAGGAGTGTCTTCCTTAAGTGCTATAAAAACTCGGAGAAATTTGTAAAGTAGCAGGTTGTAAAATGAATATTAGAAAATGAATTGCCTTATAAAATAAGTACAGTAAAATTTTAATGTAAGAACCTAGATGGGTTCACTATAAAGTTCTTTCAACCTTGCACTATACTTAAAATTGTTCATCATAGTTTAAAAATAATAAAACAGCCACAACAAAACAAGGCATAGCTTTTGTGTATACAACCAAACCGTAGTTGGAAGATACATAGCAAAAAAGACCATTTTTATAATAGCAAAAATAAATGACATACCTCGGCTAATTTTCCGAGAAACGCTAAAAACTTATGTCAGAAACATTTTTAAATGCTATTGAAGGGAGCAAATGAGCGTTGAGCAGAAGGAAAGACACAGATAGGAAGACTCACTGTCATAAAGATTTCTGTTCTAGCTAAGCTCATCACAAACACAACAGAAACCCAATACATGTATCATTTTTTTTCTCGAGCTAGATAAATGTTTAATAAAGTTAGATTACATAAACGAAAATTACCAGGGAAACTTGAAAAAAATGAACAATTATGGTAGAAGAGGGACTAACTCTACTAGTTACTAAAATCTGTTATAAAGTTTTTATAAGTGAAACTCCAATGTTGACACATCAGTAGACCAAACAATGAGACAGATTTTTTAAATCCAGAAATAGTTCTAATTACATATGGAAATTTAGTATATAATAAAGGCAGCCTTTCAAATCAGTGAGAGAAGATAAATGGTTATATGTTATGATAACCGAACAATTATATAAAAAAAATAAATTGTTAATTCCTCATACTGCACACTAGTAGAAGAAAACATGGATAGGATCTTCTATACTCTGAGAGTGGGGGCATTTTTTCCAGCCACAATTGAAAATTCAGAAGCAATAAGAAAAAATATATACTGATTGTTGTTTTTTTTAGAGAAACAATTTTTAAACCTAATGTAATTTTATTTGGAAAATAAATGCCTAAATAAACTAAAAGAAAAAAATGACAAATTTGGAAAAAGACTTGTAGCTTTATCTCAAGGAGTTAGTATGTTAAACTAATAAAAAGCTTTTAAAAATAGAGAAGAAAATGACCAACAACTTTTTCTAACAATTGGCTCAATGATAAACTGTTTGCAGAAAAATAAATACAGTGGCTTTAAGCCATATGCAAAGATGTTCAACCTCCCTTCACATAATATAAAAATGAAAGTAAAAATACACTGGTAGCATTTTTCCCATATCTGATTGAAGAAAACCGAACTTTGACATCACACTCAGGCAGTGAGGCTGTGGGGAAACAAACACTGTCATCCTCTGCTGGTGAGAAAGCAAAATGGTGCAAACCCATTAAAGAGGAATTTGCCAATATTTAACGAAAATACATATGAGCTCCCAGTTTAACAAAGCAATCCCACTTCTCAGAATCTATCACCAAAACATTCAGACAAAAATGTAACGGCACATATTTGTACAGGGCTGTGCATTACACTACACCCTTTAGACTGTTGGTTAGACGTGATTGTTATTCTGAAAATGTTACCTGCATATTATGGAATAAAGTGAATGAAAACAATCATAATGGTGTCATTAAGAACCAGGATTTTGCTGATGAAAGGAAGAGGTAGAGCTGCATGAGTGTTAAGGTTAGAAAAAACCCTGTAGTCCTGAATTTGAATAAGAAGTAGCAGTAAGAATTCATGGTGAATTTTACCTTAAAGAAAAACCCCACTCTCCGCACACTGAAAGGCCTAGATCCGGTGACAATAAGTGAGTGTGAGGTTGATTGGTATTTAAGTGAGATGCATATAAAGCACAGCTATTAATGTGTGCTCTGAAGAGGAAAAACACAAATTCAAGTAAATTTGGGAAATTCTGAATTTTCTCCTCAGAGATTATACTTTTTTTTTTTCTGTTTAACTTTTTTTTTTCCTTTTTTTTTTAAATTTATTTATTTATTGTTAGTTTCAGGTGTACAGAAC